CTGATTCAGTTACATCACTTTCTAGCCCCTAACCTGCTTTATTTTTCAGAAGATGCATCATCCCGGACATACAGCTATTTATTTATGCATTTATGCATCTGCTACCTCCACTAGAGTGCCAACTCCAGCAGAGTTTTGATCCCTGTTTTATCCTCAACACATACAGTAGAGCTTTGGAACATAATAGCCACATAGTGAATATTTGTTGAATTAATGAAATCTGTCTTATGGTAAACGTAGACCTGTGATCTATTTTTTGACCAATTGATCCCCACAATCTGCTACCCCCAAAGGAAAATTCAACTAATGTACATTCAACTAAGATACCAGACTTTATTTAATCCTCACTGTAACGAAGCAAGGAGATACTTTGTCCCCGTTTTATAGATGAGGAACCTGAGGCTCAAGGAGCTAAGGGCCTTGCTTTAGGGTACACAACAACTGAGTAGCAGAGCTGAGAATGAACTCAGATTTTCTGTTCATTTCCTTCTTTTGTTCACCAGGTCTGCATCGCCTCTGATTCTTTCTCCTCCTTTACCGGCACTATGTGCAGTGGGTCAAGCTCCCACAGATGAAATAAATAGATTCAGTTGAACATTGCCTAGAACCAACATGTAGTTTCTGAAACCAGGTCATTTCTTAAAGCATCAACCAGTATCATGTGATTTTCAACACTGATAATATCACTGCGGGGAGCAGAGGTGGGACAGGGTGTTGTTTAATACTGCAGGTTAACATGTCTTTGGCAAATAGAATGGCTCCTGAAAATTTTGGTGCTCTCAGAGTGATACTCAGAGCCTTCCCAGAAGACAGTCTTGGAAAGGAGAGAGAACATAATACGGAACGACTTAGAACAAGAGCAACAAGATTGAGATTCTGAAACTGCACGGAGTTGTGCAAATTATGCACAAAACAGAGGACTTCTTCTGCAAAGAGAGCCAGGCTTCCCTGCATCCTGGACCAGATACCCTCAGTGCTGAGACCCATAGGTATTCTGAACTACAGACATGTCTTATCGTTGAGGAAGAAATAGGCAGGTGCACAAAAATCACATGCCAGAAGTATTCAAGGGGGATTTGTCAAGGCCATTCAAACTGGGAACATATTCTGGATTTGTGTCTACGAATTAGAAGTGGAGTACAGTGCCTTATTATTATAAAGCTGGATTTTGTAGACATTAGGTACATGTTCTTATAAAAACATTTTATGAACATGATGTTTTATGAACAGAAAGGACTGGAAAGAAACTATTGTGGTGGTAACTTAGTCCTACTGTTTCATTTTTACAAAGATTTTGAAACTCAAACAGGTTTAATGAACTGCACATTCTCACATGGAAACCAAAAGTCAAGTGGCCTCTCCTTATCCACTGTCCCCTCCGAGCAGTGTTTGGGCCATTGTAGGAGTGGGGTCTGGGAACCCCAAGATCCAAAGGTCACACATGAACAGGAAACTGTGGCTTTCACACAATTTAAATACTGTAGTATACTCTAAAGACTCAGTCCTTCAGAACTGTAGGGACTGAAGAAAGCTTGAAAAGCCATGGCTCTGTGCAGAGCCAGGTAACCCGGATGAGAGAACAGGGTGTCCCTGGGGAGGGTTTGGAGGGCCTCACAGGCTCCTACTATCCACATGAAAAGGAAGGCCTTTACTCCCATCCACAGCATGAAGTGCCAGGGTCCTAGTGTAGGCCTGGTCGCACTGCCTGCCATGCCAATCCCTCTGTGTGTATCTAAAGAGGTTAGCACATCCTGGGTACACAGACCACAGCTTCCTCCCTTTGCTCAGGGCCTGTGCTTAGAGGTCTGAGCATTATGGAGACATTGCTTCACTTCTCCTTAGGGTGTCCACACCAAGACCCTGGAGCCATGTTACCACCCTTCCTGATCAGAGAGGGGCCTTCTGGGTATGTGGTAGGGTGTCCTAACCATGGAAACTTTTCTGCAGTGGGGCATCTTATTGCCAAGGCAGAGATGCACAGACACTAGCACACACACAACATGAAGAGAAATGGGCGTTCAATGACCAGTGACTAGCCCACCCTCACTACAGGAATCCTCTTTCACCCACTCCTCACCCACGATCTTTAAACTTGAGGAACTCAGCCACACACAGGCTCCCTTTAACCCATTACAATCAGTTATCTCATCTCCAGATTTTGAAGTTCCTTCTGTTGGTGCCTTTTACCTAAGTCAGCATATTTCTAACTTTCAGAAAAAAAAAACTTAGAAAATAAAAACCACTACTCCACCCAAATGATAAAAATCTCTTGAATCTCCAAGTTCAACATCTCAGCCTCCTCTTACTCAGCCTCCTGAGTGAGGAGTGATTCCTTTGATTCTGGGGAATGGTGGGCTCTACCAGTCCCCACCTCACCAGCCTGATAGTTTTTCCAGACTGACTCCTGCTTTGCTGTGGGACAGCCTCGCAGCGGCCTCCTGGCCCCATTCATTCCTCTTGGTCCTCTAAGGTCAGTCACGTTAGGGGGTGTCCCTCTTCACTCTGCTCCTGGCCCCACTTCCCCCTTCCAGAAAGGGCAGGCAGTCAACCTTCCTGAAGGCTGACTTGGAACCCAGATCCTCCTCCGTCCCTCCCGGCTGCACTTGGCAACCGAGACCCAGGCGTGAGGTGTGGGTGAGGATGGGGTTGCGGGGCAGTGGCCAGGCTGCTGGCTCAGAGTCGGCCACCAGACGAGGAGCAGCTCTGAAGGGAGCGGGACCCTCTTCGAGAAGCACCCTGGCCCTGGTGCCGCTGCACGCCTGGGCGCGGAGTGCCGGTAGCCAGGAGCGGCGGAGCGACGCGGACCCAGGGTGTGCAGAGAGATGCCCCCAAGAGCGGCGTGGCCCTCCCGCTAGTCCCGGGGAGCCCGCAGCTCCCGGGCGCCGAGCACCCGGCAACAGTAACACCAAGAGGAAGGGAAACCAGCCCGCACTGACATGTAAACAGGGCTTCCATCTAGAGGAACCCCCAGACAGACCCCCAGACACACTTGGACCCCGATCCGCCTGCAACCAATCCACTTGCCCGCCCCAGGGCCCACCGGGCAGGGACCCGAGCTGGTGGAGACTGCAGCTCCGGGCCCCGCAGCCTCCGGCCTCGGGCGAGAGGAAGCCGGCCGGCAGGCGAGTGCCCAGCGCCGGGGCCAGGGAGCCCTGCCTGCCGGTGTGAGTGGTGGACCCAGCGTCTCCGGCCCCCGGAATCGATCTGCGCCCGGGGTCCCCGGGTTTCCCGCCGCCCCGGCTGGCAGGCCGGCAGAGCGCTGGGAGGGAGCCGGGCTCCACTTCGGGGCGAGGGGAGTGGGGAAGATCGCCCTCGGCGGCGAGCTGGGCGGGTCACCCCCGCGAGTGAGATTCTCCACCCAGGCGCGGGAGGCAACGGCGCGAGCCGGGGCGCGGAAGGAAGGAGAGCGGCCACGTCTTCCGGGACCCCGGCGCCCGAGCCCAGCCCGCCCGCCGCCGCGCGCCCACTGCCCGCCCGGTCGCTTACCTTAATAGTCCCGTCCATCTGGCCAAGTCTGCAGGCGAGCCCCCCAATATTCCACACATTGACCCGGTTGCAGCCTGCCCTCGCAGCCCCGCGATCAGCCCGGCGCGGCCCCCCTGGCGCCCGGGCCTCCCCGCGTGCCCCCGCGAGCGCCCTGCCCTCGCTCCCTGTGCACGTTTGTTGTCGTAGCGGAGCGAAAAAGAGACAGTTAACCGGATGAAACTTTTTTTCAGCTAATTTTGGGAAGTGACTTCACTTTGCGAACCGGAGAGGAAGTTCTATCTCTCTCTGAGTGTGTGTGTGTGTGTGTGTGTGTCTCGCGCTCTCCTCTCCTCTCCCCTCTGCTCCCTCGTCTTCCCTCCCCCCACACCCCCCTCTTCCTTCGCCCCGCTGGTCCTGCTTTTCGCATCACACACGCTATATAAATATACGCCGAGATGCCCAGATACATTCATGCGCGGCGCACACAGGATACTTGCTCCTGGGAGATAAGAGCGAGCTGGGAACAATGCCGGGGTCCACGCCCGGCGCCCGCGCCCTGATTCCCGCAGTCTGCACCCCCCCTCCCCCAACACCTTCCCCCAAAGTCCAGAACCAAACGCCTTTGGCCTCCTTCCTTTTTCCCGGGCCGTTGGCCGAAGGTGGCCCTCCTGACTCATTCACTTTCCGTTTCTTCCCACAGATACGTTAATTAATGCTTTTTCCAGCAGGACTCAAACTTTTTGGGGCGTTGGGGGGTTGCGGATGGGAGAATTTACTCGGGCTGGGGATATCCTGGGAGCCTACTGCCCAGGAGGATCCGGACGCAGACCGAAGCAAACCAACCGCTAAAAACTGCATCCAATCGGAATTTTTCCACTCGGGCCCTTGGCTGCCCAGTCACCGCAGACTCCCGGAGCGGCTCACCCATCCACGCGGACTCCAGACGGTTTCAGACGGACTTCGGCCGTCGGGGACGCAGACTAGGCTCCCAGCGCACTGTTAGCAGAGGGGCGCTCTCGGGGCAGTGCGCCTTGGCCGTCTGCTCCTGGGGAGTTCCAGGCGCCCGCCAAGGGCCGGGACCCGCGGCACCCTAGGCCACCTATTAGCGCCTTCTAGGGTCAAACCCCTTGAGCTTCCCCGGAACCGACTGCCCAAGCCCCGGCGCCCGGCGGGGCCACCGGTGCACTGCTACCCTCCGGCCCTAAGAAACCTACACGACGGCGGGACGTTCCCTCCACGCTGTCAGCAGGTCTCCGGAGCGCAGCCCGCAACAACGCCGTACAGACGCCTACTTCTCACCAGTTGATACCCCGGGTCCCGGGCTACGAACCATCATCGCCAACCAGCCGTGGGGCCGGCCTCCCCCCGGGCCGCCTGGGTCGCCCCCGTCACCCGGACACCTCCCCCGTTACCCTGCAGTGCCGCCGCACGCCCCAGTTGGAGCAGCCTCGGGAGTCCGGGCGCATCAAGGGGACCCCTGGGCGTTCTCGCCCTGACTCCCTTCCCCCGACCTCCCAAACAGGTTACCTTGTGCACGCTCTCCAGACCACGCTTGGGACTTTCTCACTTTTATTTAAGAGTCCACCAGGGGAAGAAGGAAAAAAATATCCAGAGGAGATCCGAGTCAATTGGGAAGAAAAAAGTTCAAAAGGGTGTCCACAGCAGCGAAAAAGGTGACTTATTAATTCTTTATTTCTTCTGGAGCAATTGCGCCGGAGAGCTCGTTCGCCTCCCTCCCTCCCTCCCCCAACCCTCCTCTAGAAATTAGTCTCATCAATTCAGCTCTAATTCTGGGTTCGAACACAGACGCGGGTCTGAACGTGACTAGATCTGGAGTGGCGGGTGTAGCCTGCCAGCAATTGAGACTGTGTGTATGGGGAGTGAGGTGGGGGTGGGGTGGGGGCCGAGCCGACCCCCCCTCCTGTCTGCTTCTCAATCCAGGGGTCTGCTACGGGGCTCCCCTGGGACCGCCACATCTGGTTACCGCTAGCGGGGTCAGTCCCCCCCTTTGCCTGGGGCCACCAGTTCTGGAGTTCAATTAAAAGAAATCAGGCTTAACCCTTTCCTCCCCTCGGCCCCGCCGCCTGCCCTCTCACTCTTCCCTTCAGCGTTTCCACATGCTTTCCAGAGAGGAAAGAGGTTAAAGGGAAAGGAAGAATGAATTACATCCTTTCAAACCCCAAATTGTTTCCTTTTCAGCCCAGACTCTGCCGGCCTTCAAACGACAACAGCGCTTTCAGGAGGGTGCGGGGAGACCGTTGCCTGCAGGGACCTGACCAGAAACCTGGCACCCTCAGCCACATCGCCCCTTTTTTCGGTCAGAAAGGATTCCAGCTCCACCACCGGGGGGCCCCCTTCCTGGTGCTGGGCAAACACTGAGGCTGTTAAACCAGGACACCAGCGCGTGCTTCGCTCTTCTACATATGCTCCTCCTAGTGCTGGAGAAGGCACCTCTGAGGCAGAAATGTTGACTAGGTTTTTTTTTTGTCTCCTATTCAGCCTGGCAAATAACAAACTGTCCTCCCTGCACTCACCCGTGCAGTCACCCGCCATCCCTAGCACCCCTGCTCAGTATAGCAGGGGGGGGGCCTCCCCCACGGGAGTGCTCAATATGGGGCTAGACGAAAGGGAGGATTGCCCTCCTGGAACTCAATAGCACTTTCTGTTTCTCCCCGTAAAACCAAAGCTATGGCAGTTCTGTAATTTTGAAGATGGTGGAGGGGGGAGGAGTGGTTGGCAAAGGAATAACTGTCACCCTTTTGTGACTCATCAGCTGGCACTGGTGCCATGCCTTTTGCTATTTACCCGCCTCACTCACGAGGAGCTGCTGTCATTCACAAGGTCTTGCCCTCCAGAAAGAACCCCCCAGCTCTGAACAGCCACCCTCTGAAGGACTATGAGAGTCACTCCATCCCTTGCTGACCTGCTGGTGGGCAAGCTAGCCCCACTTATGTAACTCTGGGTTTGATGCTCAGTCCTACTGCTGCTGCTTTTTGAAATCCCAAAGGGGGAAAAAGCCCTAACCAAACACAACAGTAAACAAGTCTGCCCTGTTTAATGTGGTTACCATCAGACATCTGGAAAGATGGTTTGATCCTGGCAGCTCACATTGTTTTCACGAGCAGCCAAAAAGAATATTTCAAATGTTTGCATTGAGACAAATTGATAGAGAGCCTGTGGTGAGGCCCGCTGCAAATGAAAACTGTCTTGGAGCTGGTGGGGGAAACCTTCCCCTGTCTCTCTCCCCCTCTCTTCCCTTCTCTCTTCTCACCTCCCTTCTTCCTCTTTCTCTCCCCTCTCCCCCACCATCCCCCCTTCTCCTCCTGGCCTAGTTAGGGACTGGTAACCCCAGCCCACACTGCTGCACACACCCTCTTTCCTGGCTCACCAGAGACTGTCCTGCTTCTCCCTTTCCCAGACTGGGTAGGGCTGGTGACCGGTAGCTGGCTACCATGGGTGCCCATTCCACCGGCTGTGCCGGCTTCCAAGTCAGGGGAAGCTCACAGCCAAGCAAGCCAGGCCAGCATTTAAAACTAAAGCTACCAACTGGGCAAGGGAGGTAGGGGTGGGGGCACCAGCGAAACAGCCCCCCCCCCCCATTTCTAAGCCTAGGATCACTTATAGAAAGCATGCACAGGTGGGCGAATATTCAGGAAACATTTGGATTTGGGGCATTTTCATTGGAACTTTGGTGGGATGACTTGCCTCGCACCATCGACACTTGACAATATTTTTAAAGATGAGGAAGTCCTGCTTCCCCAGGGAGGTGAACGCCGGGGTGAAACGTGTCTTGGCTCGCTCCATGTCAGCCCTTCTGACCCGGTCAAGACTTTCCAGACGCGACTCCCGGGCTGCTTAGGTCACAGCCCCGGTTGGGGGTGGGAGGATGCGACAACCGGAGCCGGGTGCCTCCGCATCCCGGGACCGCTCAGTCACTTGAAACCACGAAGGATGCCAGGTCTGGCTGTGCGTCCAGGGCGTATCCTTTCCCTGCTCCTCCACCCCCAGCCCCCAGCCCCGCGGCCCTGGCGCGGCCTCGGCGGGTATTCGAGCTGGCAGGGGTGGGGACGGGCAGAGGCGGGCGCGCGGGAGAGGGATGGGCTAGGAGCGCCAGAACTCCAGACTGCACCACTGTGGCTTCGAGTGTCTGGCCCCTCGCTCGAGGCCATAATTAATTTGAGATTTATTTTTATTGGAGAACTCGGGTCTCGTCTGACCTTAGCCAAACAAGGCAGCTCGAGCCGCCCCTGGATGCGCTTGAATGCCGGGGAATATTTCTGCAGGAAGGCTCTGCAGTCGCGCCTGCTTTGAATTTGTTTCTCAGACTTCATCTACTCACAGATTGAAGGAAGATTTAGAACCTCTGCTCGCCCTGCCCGCTCCCCACGCTCCTTCTGGCCTGAGCGCCGAGCTGGTTCCAAACTCTACGTGGGAGGCCGCGGCGGCGGGAGGGCCGGGGGCGCACAGCCCCACACGGGGAGGGTCTCCAGGCCCCGCGCCTTGGCGCTCAGGGGCCTGGTCCCTAGACCACGCGGCGTCGAGGAGAAACCTCGAGGGAGTCCAAGGCCGACCCGAGAGAGCAGGCTGACAAGAGGTGGAGACCAGCCAGGTGTCGGGGCTCTCACCCAGTGGCGGCGCCTAGTTGGGGGCTTTGTGGGGAAGGGGAGTTTCAGCCTCCCGGCCGCCCAAACAACGTCCGTTCTGAGTACAGATCTGGTCCTTGAGATGCGGCTTCAGGACCTGCCGGCCCGATGCCGCCCCCGGGCGTGGTCGCTGTGCGCATTCTGGGGTGCCAGCCTCCTTCGGTCTGCCGGATGGGGGTGTCACCCACAGAAGGCAGCATGCGTTGACCCAGCAGGCTGGTTGGTGATGCAGCGAGAGCAAGGAGTCTAGGAAATTCGAACAGGCGGTGGAAGTGGGAGGAGAACCCTGCCAGTCTTCTAGGGCGCGCCAGGGGCCTACAGGGATGTGACCCGCGCCCTGGGAGTGACAAGCGCCTTGCAGAGTTCGCCGTCAGTTTCACCCCAATGTGTCTGCTGCGCCCTCCACCCGGTATCTGCTAGTTCTGGAACGTTCTGGTTGAACTCATTGTGGGACTGGCTCTCCGGTTTTCAACCCTAGCTTTGCGCTTACCAGTTCTGTGACCTCGATAACTTCCTTAACCTCTCTGTACCTCATCTGTACATTGGCTTTATAAAAAGGACCTACCTCAAAGAGCTGTTGTAAAGATGAAATGAGTTAGAACTTGACGACAGCAGAACTTTACGTTATTATTTGTATTTTGGTCTGCCCCTCACGAACTGTTATGTTGAGCTCAGTTTCTCATCTGCAAAATGGACTACCTCTGAAGTTTGTTATAGTATTAAACGAGTTAGTACAGGTAGAGTGCTTGCAACAGGGCCTGGCCAAGATAAGGACTATCTCTGTGTTACGATCAATATTCACTTACTGCACCCCAGTGTCTTCCCCTTTCTCCCTGCCTCTTGCCAGCCTCCTGTCCTCCATAAGCACTCTCCTGCGGGTAAACCCCCTGAGCACTCTGTGGTTCTCAGAACCCATATCGTTGCCCAGGTGGAGTGGGCACCGTTGACTCCTGAGGGCCGGGCTCGGCTCCTGGCTCCCGGGGCTCTGGGTGCCTGGGCCCGCGGTGTTTGTCAACAAACCCTGAGCCGGTTGTCTGACGCAGAATGGCAGGGGCTGGTCCGCCAGGTTCTGTTTGTGACCCCTCTGGCAAATGGTCGGGGTGGGAAGCCGGCGAAACAGACCCAAGATTGTCCCTGCCTCCCAGACCTTTCGCCGTCATCAATGCACCCCTTTGTGCAACAATACAAACTTTGTGGCTGCTGAAAAATCCATTTTTTTTCCCTCTTGAAAAGAGCTCCTGCGGTGAGCGACTCCTCTGGCTGCCCACAGCTCCCGGACTGCAGCCTCTCTCCCTGCTTCCCCGACACAACCTCTCGCTCCCCCGGTCGGGTTTGTTTTCTCTCTGACTCTTGGCCTAGGTCAGGCTTCTGGGCTCCCAACTCACCTCTCTAGGGTTCGTCCTCCCTGAGGCTTGGGGAACCTGCCTGTGTGCAGACTTAGGGGCCAAAGTGAGAGAGAAAGCAGAGCGCGCGCGAGCAACTCTTTGCCCAGGGGCCACTTGCAGCACCGAGGGCAAAGCTGGAAGGGAGGGTGAGTTTCGCCAGTCTGGGTGAGCTGGGAGTCTTGGGGGTGGGTGGGGTCACAGCTTGCTTAACTTCTCCGGACAACCGGAGACCGCAAACCAGCTGTCTTTAGACTAATTATAGCAGTTCTGCTACTTCTTGGGAGCCCTTCGTCCATCTGATTATCGATACAAGGACTCACTCATTTTTCGTTCATTCCTCACTGATTTAACATCCCTTCTGGGACAAGCTTCCAGGACCCGAACTCCCCGGGTCTAAACTTCTTCAGACCCCAGGTAGGGGAAGATGCTACCGTGTGTCAACAAATTTCCCTTTAAAGATTTAGAAGGTGGGCTGAATGCAAAACTGGGGCTCCTGAATTAGACCTGATAGTCGCACTCTGCCGAGAGGGTCACGTGCAGGCAGAGCCACCGCGCTTGCTTTGACAAACGCAGGAGTGCGCTCAGCCGGGGCACACGCAGCAATGTGGGCATTGGGCGTACAGGCGTGGGACTTCCGGAAGGAGAGGGCGGAGCCAGGACTTGAAGAAGGTAGGTGAGCGCTTGCAGAACCCGGGCTGGTCTTCCCTCCTCCGAAGTAGGGGAGGCACAGGTTGTTCGTCGCCGACCCTACCCAGCGGCGCTGCAGCATCTTCGGCCCCGCCCCGCTGGAGGATTTTTATTAAACGTTTAACCCAGATGTCCTGGCCTCGGTTTGTTTACATTCTTGGGAACTGGCGGGGCGCGCAATCTTTGGATATGCTGTCAGATATAGCAATCTGTGCTCCCGAGGGGCGGATGGCGCCAAGGAAGGTGGGCTTGAGGACCGACGGGGTGTGAAACCGGTGGGAGAAGTGTCTCGTATTTCTACACCTGCACACATACGCCCACAGGCACACTCGCGCACACTCACACCGTCGTACCTACAGATCCTTAACTCAGGGAACCGGCGGTGCGCCTGAGGCGTGAGCGCACGACCCAGTGGGGCCCGACGGCTGGCTCACTGGTCCAGGCTCCCGCGCCTTGGCTTCTCCGGACAGCCTTCTCCACGCACACCCACTGCCGGTTCCCCAAACAGAAGCGGCCAGAAGCCTTACTGCTCAACCAAGGATTCCGGAGGGTGTGCGCCACCCTCTTTTGATCTGGGGCACCGCAGCTCCAGATCGACCCGCTGAGAGCGAGGCCCGCCCCCGACTCTCCCCCCCCCCCCCACCAAAGAAGGAATGGGGGTAGGAGTTGGTGGCAAGGACCTGCGAGTCATTACCTTGTTAAACTCGCTGTCGTGTCTTACCTTGACGTAAGACGACCTGTCAGGGACTGTCTGAAACATCCTGGGTTGGTGAAGAAAGGTTGGGAAGGCCCAAGAACCAACCTGAGTAAGAGAAACCTCAGTCACCCTCAGGTGGAGTTTGGGTGAGTGGCTGGGGTGGGCACGGAGGGGGAAGGCAAAGGGAGAGGACATGGGAGTTGGGAGGCTCGTGTCTGCTTGGACCAGCGTCGGAGGATCCGAGTGGGCACGAACGGGTGCCCTCTTTGCGCCTCTGTCCCTGGACTTCAGGCTGAGGGATGGTGAAGATTGAGAGCTTCCCTTTGGGGCTCTTCACCACAGTCCTGTAACCATTCTCTGCCTCAGTAGGAGACACTTGCCTCCCCAGGGGTTTGGGGAGTTTCACACCGGGGGACACAGCAGACCGTCCTGGCCAGAAGAGAGAATGCCACCAGTCTGGAGGTAGGTCTCCCCACTGATGTGCCTGGAGGCCCCAGGAGCAAATATTTACAGAGCTGCCAAGCTCAGGCCCTCAGGGCATAGACCTACCAGGCTCTCCACCACCCCTGCCAGTGTCCAACTGACCCTCTTGTTTCTACTGGTGGACCTCTTGGGGAGGATGACTGACTCAAAGTTCTGGAGGTCTGGGGAGGCCCTTTTCCCTGCTCCTGCTTTTGAGAAAACAGTTTTGCCGGTGGAGACAAAGGCAGTGAATGAGACCGCCTTGCTTCTGGTGGCAGGGGACATGGTGTCTGAGGTCGGAATATTTGAGCTGGCTGGGACAAAAACCACCCTAGGATGCCAGACGCCTCTGCCCGAGTCTCTCCCTGCCTTGTCAACTCTGGAAGCTGTCTCTCTCTTGCCTTCCTTCTCTTAAACCATCTTTAAGGTGGCAGCCTGCAGCTTCTCCAGCAGCCAATGTGTTTCTGATAAAGAACTTCTCTCCCCACTAACCAGTTCCAGCTTTTTGGCTCCTGAAGCCACAACAGACAGGAGTTTGGGACCAGGTATGTTTCTCGAGGCTCCTAGATTCCCAATCACTCTCTAGCCCAGAAACCTTACTCCAGTATCCTCCTTTTTCGTTGAAAGTTGGGGTGAAATTTGCAAGAATAGAGAGAGGGATGGTGGAAAACAAAGAGAAAAGAAATCCCAGGAGGGAATGAGAAAAAGAGCCCCAGCAAGCTTGACATTTTCCCACTGCCACAAGAGCAGACACAGAAGCGTTGCCACCCTGTGTCCCTCCAGAGATCCCATACAAATGAACACTCACCTTGGACACCCTTTCCTGCTAAGCCAGCCGAGCGGAACACTAGCAATGCCAGTGTGTTCACGTTCTAGGTGCTAATTCTCTGTGCCCAGAGCTCCCAGACCGTTGGTTCCAAATGAAACCTGCTGGCTGCCTGGAGTCAAAATTTGCCTTTCTCTCCAGCGCAGTGCAGATAGGCGGCCTCGGTGCTGGCGCGTCCTGGGGGACTGCAGGAACCACTCCAGTTTGTGTGCCCTGCAACTTGCTTTTCTGCTGCCTCTCTCCAGCGCTCTCGGTCTCACTCCCTCTTCCTCTCTCTTTTCCCGTCTTTTAATTTGATATCCATTTTCTTATCAATATTTCAGCTGCTGTCTGATGACTTATCCCATTGACAGCCACCCATCTACCCCCAGTTGCTTTTCCTGAAATTTCCAGTGTTGCGAGGAAATGTCAAGGAACACTAGAAACCACACACATTTCGTAATGTAAAGACATACAGCTATGTAAAGCCCCAAGGAAATTTCCAGACCCAGGCCTTCTTTAAGCGGATTATTTAGTTTCAAGTGATTGCTCCGCAAATGATTATTCTTCAGACTTAGACAATGTGAGTGGAGTGAAGTCCTCTTTGACTTCCCACACCCGTAAGTTTTTCTTATTAAAGGTTACTCCTTCCTTTTACTTGGTTCTCCCCAGGAATCCATCTCTTTCTGACTCACCTTTTCTAGCTGCATCTCGTAAGAGCAAAGTAGATAGCAAATATCAGAGAAACAACCCTATTGTGGAGTTTTCACTGGAACACATGTACACCCATTTAGAAACACTCTTGCTAAGGAATCACTATGGATCATCAAATCTGTGTTTTGCTGAAACTGGAATGTCACACCTTTCTCTGCGCCCAGTTGCAGACCTGACCCTGGAAGGGACTCAGATTTCTAAGTGCCTGCTCACTTTGCTCCGCGGAGCCCACGGCCATTCTCCACAAAACAGACCCTGCCTGGCTGATGAGTTGGGTCTGTGCTCTCTCCCCAGTGGGGCGGTTTTCACACCCTTGCACTCCCCTCATTTGAGTCTTGGGTAACAGGGAACTGTTCACCAGGTCTGAGCCTGGAATAAGGGACAGGGACCAGAGCAGATGAACTTGGAGATGGGGGGGTGGAGGAGGGCCAGGGAAGCCCAGGTGCCTGGTAGGAGTGGAGAGTGTGTCAATCTGTAAGAACCAAACTGATGGCTTTGTGCACTTTGGAGAATTAGCCTCCATTAGGCAAGCTTTCTCCTCTTTTTCGTTCGTGGGTACCCAGATCCCTGACTACTTTGATTCTGGATACTGAGAAAATTTGTTTAGTACCTGCTCCTTCTTCTCCCCCTCCCAAATGGCTCTAGAAATTTCTGACCAAACGGCAACTACTGGGATTCCATTTCTGGAGAAAACACACTTATCCCCCAGATCTCCCCACGTGGGGGGTATGAAGACTGGCGGTGGGGTTATTCATTATTTCCTTCTCAACAATATCCCGATTTTTCTCTCTGTCCCTCCCCCAAAGCTCAACATATTGAAACATTTTGCTGCTTAATAAGAGCAGCCGGGAGAGCTATGAGGTGAAAGGCCAGCCTGGGACCGTGACTAGGGCTGCCTGGGCTTGGCGCTGACGGCCAGGCTGCCCCCACCCAGCACATTCCTGACCATTGCTTAGGAAAACAAGACAGGGCTTGGGGAGGGGAGGGGCTGAATTACAAGAGCCACTGCCTCTGTATTTTTGTTCTTGGGATTCTTGGAAAGATCTTTCCTCCTAAAGGGAACAAGCACTGTTCCAAACAACCACAAATAAAATAGAAGGTGCTCCTACATCAGATAATACATCCTCCACTAGTGTCATGCATTTTAAAGATAAGTTCTTTTTAGGAAAGTTGGAAGTTTGAAAGTGAAGGCTTCAGCTATATTAGAGGAGATCAGAACTAGCCGGGCTGGCTGTCTAACTAGTATCTCACCATGCAGAGTAAGTTTTTCCAGCATTGGGCTTTCCTTTATTTTCTTTTCCCCTCCTTCTGCTCTTTCTTTCTTCTGAGAAGAGGTCTCTGCGACACCCCTTGAATATCATTCTCTAGATTTTTAACTCTTCTTATGTTTTCACAGTTGTTATTACACTCCTTTTTGTAGATACTGTGATCTAAGCGTTAACTCCCTTCATTAGACTGTAAGCTCCTGAAGGCAGGAGTTGAGGTGGTTTTGTTCATGGCTAGATACCCAGTGTCCACACTGAAGTTGGCAGGCAAAGAAATGGGATGGTTATTTAGCTACCCCCTTCCTTTCTAACCAATAACTAAAGAATACAAAGCAAATCAAAGCCAGCCATTGCATTGCTATTAAGGAAAAACCGACCAAAAAATTGCACCTGAGTGATAAGATTCCCTTTGCAGGTTTCATGACATTAGTGCTCATCATTTTTATATAAATGGTTTAACCAGGGAGTGTGAGATCATCCCTCTTCCCAAGCACCCTGAGTGAGGTCCTCTGGTGGAAGTGCTCAGTCTCCAAATTCTGTACCAAATTCTTCAGGTGTGTGTGTGTGTGTGTGTGTGTGTGTGTGTAAGTTCTCTACCAAACTCATCAGGGTTGTGTATGTGAATGTATGCGTGTTATTTCCTACTCTTCCTGTAATTTTAAGAGCCAGAATGGGTATTCATTCCAAGGGTTCTCCAAATGATGAGCTCTTGTGATGGACTGAAAATGAAGTGAGGGCTAATCTGGAGTCCCTTTCAGAGGCGGAAGTAGACCTAGAAGGCTGCCTTGCTTGTGCATGTGGGGGTAGGGAGGGTTGTGGATGCCCACTGGGGAGGTGCCTGCCATCCTAACCACCCAGTCGAGGAGCAGGGGTGGGGCGGGGAGGACCCAGGAGGATACCACCAGCTCCCTTTGTCACCTGGCGTCCTCAAT